CTCTCTCTTTCTCTCTCTTTCTCTCTCTTTCTCTCTCTCTCCCCCACCGCCCTCGTCTCCCTCTCATTCATCCATCCATCCAGCTTAAGCGAGTGCTCCGTTTCTCCAACATCGCCCTCCTCCCCTAGCCCCCTTTCCTTTCAAAAGCTCCTCAGCGACTCCTCATTCACCCAGCAATAAAATCCATGCCACCCAATATCTTTATAAACAGATACCTTCTCTTCTTCTCCCCCTTCTGTGCCTCACACCTACACCCACAGAGATACTTCCTCGCCTTTCCTCTCCTCCATCATCTTCCTCTTCTTCTTCCCCACCCGGATTCCCTGTTCGCATCATTTGGATATCGTGTTTTGCCCTAACCCGAGCCTCCTCCCCCATTCCCTTTCCCAAAGATGTCCCAAACCCCGTACTCCCTTCATTCCAAAGTGGCTCGCGAGCCACCGAGGTTAACCAGAACAAAAGAAAAAAGTGCAAAGCGAACGGCCGTGATTAGAAACATTGTGACAACAAGAAGAAGAAAAACATCCTTTCCTTCCCATCTGTAAGGGTACAGTGCAGTGTTTTCCCTCTTATTTTCTTCCCCGTCAGATAGGTCCTTGAGATCTGCCCCGTCTGCGTTTTCGTCTCGCTTCGAAAATCTGAGGGTGGAGAAACAAGGCTGTTCCAGTCGTGGATGTGCGTGTGTGTGTGTACGTGTGTGTGTATGTGTGTGTGTGTGTGTGTGTGTGCGCGCGTATGTGTGTGTCTGTGTGTATGGGTATGGGTGAGGATGTCATGTTATTGCTTCCAACACGCCAAATTCCTCAGAAGAGCCTTCCACCTGCGCCCCAAGCCCTCTTTCGGCACCTCCAAACTCATCACCTTCTCCGCCACAGGAAGCGGACTCAACGGCGCCGTGACTGCCCGCCGAGTCCCAAACGCGCTCTCCCCGCTCGCCCTCTCCTGCCTGCTTCCCGCCTCGGAACCGCCATCTACACTCAGATCCCCATATTGCCCGATAAGTGCCTGCCTTCTCGCCTCTACCACCCTCCGTACGATCAGCGCAAAGGTCTCTTCGATATTAACCGTATTCCGCGCGCTCGTCTCCATAAAGCCGCATTTGTGTTTCCGTGCCCACTCCAGCCCCATCTGCGCGGACACCTGTCGCGACTCCTGCAAGTCGCATTTGTTGCCCGCCACGATCTTGATCGGCCTCACTGGCCCCGCTGCATTGACACCTGTACCCAAACCCGGCTTCCTCTTCTTCCTGCCCAGCGTCCCGGAGGAATGGTGATCCCGCTCCCAGGCATCCATGCGCGTCTCCGCCTCGATGTCGATCAGGTCGTTGAACTCCTGCAGCGCGGCCAGGCTGCTCAGGTTCGTGATGTCGTAGACCATCAGGAAGGCGTCGGAGCGCAGGTTCGCCGACGCCCACATCCCGCGGTACTCCTCCTGGCCGGCCGTATCGGTGAGTGCCAGGTGGTACGTCTGCCCGTCAACCTTGCGCGTTATGCTGTAGGAGTCCTCGATTGTGGGGTCGTACTCGTGTGTCCATTGCGAGCGGACGAGCCGCAGCGTTATGGAGGACTTGCCGCAGCCGCCGTCGCCGCAGATGGTGATTGTGATGCGGTGAGGTAAGTCGGCGGAGGTCGACATGGCGAGGAATGTGTCTCGTAGAAAGGTTTTTGAACGGCTCCCGGTGTAGTGTTGTAAGCAGATAATTTTTGGAAAAAAGGGGGAAGGTGCCGAAGTGGTTTATCGAACTGTGGTCACTCTTGAGCTTTGTCTCCTAATCTTCTCGACTGCTGGGAGACCTGTATGGCCTTCTGAGCGTTTCTCGACCCTTCGCCTTCGTCGCCGACCCGATTCACTGCTCTCCTATCCTATTTGACACTCCTGGCACCTGTGTTTTTTAATTTCTGTGAGGCCTTGCGATCCGTGCCCCTATCGCATGCCTGATTACGGAGCAGAATCCGCCTCCTATCTCCGGCACAATTCAATTAGGCGCGGGAAAACGCCGGACCGAAGGGTACTTGTTGTTTTTGCGTTAATTCGTGGCTCAAATTGTCGTTGTCGTGTTTGTTCTGATGAAAGACGATGTCGGTGTCGGTGTTGATATACCGCGACCAGGATGCTTAAACTGGAAGGAACTCCGGGGGGCTCGGAGGTTGGCTCTCTTTCGAGGAAAGTGCGAGGCCGATGGTCCTTGGGGATGTCGGCGTCGATCTAGCGATGCTTGTTGGAACGTCAATCTGGTCCTGTGGGTATTCCAAGAAGTCTCATGGAAAGAAGGCAGGGACAAGAGATGAGAAGGAGGAGAAGGGGGAGAAAAGGGGGGATTGAGTGGAATATAAAGTTTGGATGTAGTTCTGATTGCTGTTTATGCTTTGAGAGACAAGACCCGGGTATAGATATAAAGGTATATATAGGGCGAGCGAAAAACATATATATAAATATATATGTTTATATTTACAACAACAACGGGATAGAAAAAATAAAAAAGAGATGAGAGGATAGGATATATCAGAGAGGAAGGACCGGCTATATGTTTGTGCGTGCGATTTGAGTCTATAAAAAGGCATCGTGAAACGACAGGATATATTCGATTACGAAGACATGGGTTGCTTGCTTTTGAGGCCGTCAACGCGCACCCCCGGCCCTCATTGGTCGCCTTCAATCTGGTTACTAAAACCTTTTCTCTCCGCTGCGGATCCGGCTTCGTTGGGAATAGCTTCACTCTGGGAGCCTCCATCATGTATCAGCGGAAGAGGAACACGACTCGTATCGCGGCGTGCTGGTCGAGACTGTATGGTCTGGTCTGGACATCGATAATCTGATTCCCTATTATTCTCACAATTTTTTTTTGACAAGCGGCGGTCTCAAAAGCTAATTTTTTAAGGTGAGTCAAGATTCGATTCGACGTCAAGAGAAACTCTTAACCCAAGTTACTATTTTTGATGTATGCTTAGAAAGTATATCCTCAATCTCACCGCTCTCTTGGGCCTCCTGCCTCGGTCAGGACTCGCTTGCCTCGGTACTAAATCCTGGAAATCATAGGCAGGTATAGATGAAACCGGCTCTCATATCCTCTGGAACTTTCATCTTGCATTTGGGCGTTAGTCCTCCGAAAATTTTCCAGGTTCAAAATGCTCGTTTGTATCACAGCATGCGTACAATTGCAGTTGGGTCTATCGCACATAGGCGGCCAGGGTCGCTTTAAGCTCTGACGATAGATCAGCTTACTATTCTGCAGAATATAGAGCTTGCAACGTACTTGAGGGTGTTAGAATTTTGCTATTTAAAGAAACTAATTGTATCGATTGGGGACTGCAGGTGGCTGTTCATGCGAGTAACAATAATCCCTCTTCAGCTACATAAGGAACGCAAGTTCGCTTGACTTATAACTATATATTATAAAATGTCCACTTGCTGCAGTGCAGAAGCTGTCTTACATACACGCGTTAAGCAACTCAAACCGTTTAAATTAACAAGCATAGGTACTATTCTACCTGTTCACTATCCGCATCGCAATATTTCATGAAATAAGCGAGCTGCGAAAAAGCGAAAGAGGACGGCAACGCAAACCGCAAGCAGAAAGTAGTATAATCCCATGCTTAAAAGCAGCCACGACAGAGACTGGAGAATCGTTGCAATCCCCCGTCCCACAGCCCTGTACTCTCGTCAGGGAGACCTTTCTGCCGATGATCGGTACAATTCCAGCCCGAACTTTGTCCTGGTCTTTAACAAGATTGGTCGATTTCCTGAATACAAGAATCTGAACTCAATATCTGGCATTACAAGGGAGATGGCATCTTCCCTAGATATGATCAATCTGCCATGTGCGGACTCTGGTGCAGGCATCTAGGAAAGCAGCTCTTCTGGTAGTACTTCAAAAGTCGCCCGCGTCAAAGCAAGTATCGAGACGTACTGTAGCGCGCGGAGATGGTTCTTGGCCATCCGGGAATGGCAACGTACTGTGTAGGTAGAGAGCCGTATCAGATTTCGAGAGCGCCCAGGATCTGTTTTGGGCTACCTATTATTCACACGCGGAATTTCTGGGTGTTAGGTGAGAATGCTTGCTACGAGGCTATAAAGTAAACAAGAGAGCGGGTACGGTTCAGGAAATTTCCTCTCAAGAATTCAGCGGTGGCGACTGTCATTTTGGGGTTCTCGGATTTAAGCTAATAATTTGTGAAGAGGTAATTGGCGCCGAACTCAGCAAGGCAAAGAGTGAGTTCGCATTGGGGAGCGTAGATCTAGGTATGACCGACTGTGGTGTCTTGCAACCATGTCAATTTATCCACCTTCACGCTCGGAAATTTGAGCCAGGCTTGCACCTAACTGATTTAGTGCTGAAATTTTGCCTGAAATTGAAGTTGAGGAAGAAACGAAGTTGTTTTCATTACTGATCATTGCAGCCATGTCGCACGGAACGGGGAGGATACTCGAAAGCCGAGGCTGATCATGGATTGGGCCCCTTTCTTATAGGAGAGACATGTGCGAGAAGTGACTATCATTTGAGTCTCACCATGTTTCTGTGCTCCATCTTATCTCTCGCGTATGCATTCGGCATAATTTCCAGAGATCCAAAGGTTACGTTACCTACGGAACCAAATGTTCCCTTTCAACCTCACTACACTGACCCTGCCCATCGTCATTGTCGCCTAAACAGCTTTCCCCAATAGTACGGAAGTCTTGATAATTTTAATTCGTATCCGCCGGGCAAAGATCTGCTCGTCGCCCTACAAGGCCGAAGTGTCAAGTGAAAGAGTGTGCATGGCTGGCATACACGCTAAGCGAAGCCAACAAAGCTAAAACCCAACAACGAACATTCTAGAAATACGCAGTTCCCCAGCAGACGATCCTCCCATCTCTTTCAAACTTGATATCTATCTAATTTATATACTATCAAGGTGATCGAGGGTCGAATTCTAACATAATCCCGAACATTGCTTAAGCGCTGGCCAGCTCGCAGACTTTCTCTCCGCGTTTCCCCCACTTGGGCGCCCGCACCTGATCCACCGCCCTGTTTTGCTTACCTGGGCCGCATCTCTATCCATCTCACACTGCATTGTTGGTTTGAGATTGTAGAATGAGCCCCGAGCTACATGCCTGAGTATCTGCTTTTTTTCAAAAAATAACAAAAATGAGGTTTGTCAAGTTGATAACTCAAATAGCAGCCAAGTGCCGTTGAACTTGAACTAATCATTTTGTTTTGGCCATAATCAACTCTGCTACCTCTTAAATCGATAATCTGTTGCTTAGTCTTTTGTTTTGTACCGCTTGTTGCGAATAGGATCTTATCGTATACCGCCCAAACCTCAACATGCTTAAGTCTTATTTACGCCTGGTCCTGTCAGTGCTACTGCCACTGGCGCCTTTCCACCTCGCTACAGCACTACCATTCCATCCTATCTGTAGGGGAAGGGCGCATGCGACAGTAGCCCTCGCTACAGCACTTTGAATTGCTTTCTGGGGCCTTCTTGTATGTAACTCCTTAGCTTAGCACGTCGCGGTACCCCATGGGAGGTCCCAGGGCGGCAGGCTTCGCCTGCTACCCGCCCGACGTAAATAAATACAACAACAACAAAAATACAGCACTACCATAACAAAAACGCCAAACTCCGTTCCTATACCGTCTCCGCCCTCTCAAAATCCTCTCTTTGAGAACAAACAGTTGTCGTCGTTCGATGAGCACCTCGCCTACTTCGGCACCATCCACGCACCCTCTTTCGCCCCAATGCTCACCCCACCTCTGCACATTAACTTCTTCATGTCCTCAGGAACTTGCCAGCCATTATCAGCTTCCCTCCTTCTTCTCCTTTCTGACGTGTCCGAAGCACTGCTTTCCACAGACCTCAGTCTCATACCCCGGCGTTCTCTACTCCCGGTTTACGTCACAGCCAGCATCAACGAGCAAATCCACTTCGAGGTTTTCGTGCTTAGCCTGTCAGCGGTTGTGGAACCGTTTGGGCTTGAGTCCGTAGAGAAGGGGATGGATTTTTATGGAGGAACAGAGAGGTGGCGGGGCATTGTGAGGTTGTTGGAAAGGGGAGCGCTGGAGCTGGATACGGCTGCGAGGAAGAGGGATGGTAGAGGCTTGGAGAGTATACTGGTTCTCGAGATAGAGGTTGCGCCGTAGTATGTAAGAGTTGACAGAGTTGATCTGTATGACTTTTGGTAATGGGGCACTCTGATTCGCTTCGGTTACGGTGAGAAGGAAGCTTGGTAGACTCTTCAAATCGTTAGAGGTGGAGGGGCTGGTGTAGAGATTGGTTGAGTGGTTGAGAAAGGGACACACATTACGCTATTGGGACGATATGATTAAAAAGGTATCTTATAATAAATCAATACTCTGAGATGATATTTCGATGGGTACTGAAGTTATGGGTTCCCTTAGGCGGTTGGCGTAGCGGCAAGAGTTGTGCGCTTGACTACTCCCGGAGAAGGCGCATTTTCATGTCTGACGATCTGCGGCTTGCAGCGTACGGGTCAGTATATAAACGAGCTATGATAAATTCAGTTAGATAAATACTACAGCTTTACCCATCTCCTCTTGTCCTCAAGCAGCAGGCATATCTGAAAGACGATGTCTATCAGCATCGAAGCAGACCCCACAGCGGGTACTTGTTGTGTAATTGCTCATTCGTCGTAGATACTAAAACTGAATCCAAGAATGAAGAAGGAAGTAGCAGCAGCGAAAGTACTAGCCAGCTTAGCCATGAGATTCCTACGTATCCTCCATAACCCCCCTAAAGAAGTCACAGCCCGTTCCATCAACCACTCTCGCTCAGCTTATAAGCGACGCCGACTTCAGCACTAGAATACGTCGGTCCTCGGGCGTAGTATCGCTTCGCAGTAGTTCAGCTTTCCTTTACCCGAATTGACGCCGGTAGAAAAATTGAGGCACCTTTATGATCCAAAATATCATTAAGATATTTCAACCAGTGGCGCAGGTACAATGGTGTACTTGTCAGGTCAATCTGGCAGGAGGATCAACAACTTGTAACGATTTGGGGCCGAGTGGTATAGACGCACCGAACCACACACGACAAATCACGGCGGAATATGATACGACAAAAGATGTAGGCATTCGACACCGGGCCGAACTTTTTGATCCTTTTTTTGATTTTGATCCTTTTTTTTTTTAATTTGTTGAATGATTTTTTATAATTTTTTATTTTCATTCTCCTGAATGGAAATCAGTCGGATGATGACAAGATATGCTTATCACCCATCACCGCCACCAACAACGGCAATTAGGCGCTAGACATGCAAATAACAATAAACAGCCAACAAAATAGCGGATGAAAGTCTTCGCCCTAAAAAATTAACAAAACTTTCCGCAGTTAACCACGCGGGAGCAGGGAGGTAGGTCGATCCACGCCTGGTAGCATCTTACAGAGACGGAACCGTTGTTTACCCAACCTTCCCCTCCCCCCTCCCTCCCCCCCCCCCACCCCCCCCCAAGCCAGTATTTTGATCGCGGTATCGAATATTCTTGGACTATTGCGAGGTGATGTTCCAAGAGAGAGGTCGAGTGGAAGTTACCTGCGAGAATGTTTGAGTGGTTTTTTGTTTTGTACCGAGAGCTTTGTGAAGCTCTAGATTGCGCCATTCATCTATCTAAATATCTATAAGTGAATTACATAGCTCAGAAGCCCGGAATTCGGGCGAGACAGCATTGCCTACAGTTAAGATCAAAGTTAGACTTGAAGTGACTGGTACTTGAATGGTATTCCACAATAGGAAAGAGCGATGTCATATCTCGTTCGTTCGCTCGAAGTACTACTTACTTACCAACTTACTTGACTCAGGTTCCACTAGCCTGTCCCACTCACTTATTCACACACTGAAAGAAGCCTCTTCTCCCTCTATACCTTTTTGAAAGTGTGTAAGAACGAGCATTCTTTAACTCATCTCATTATACTTATGCCTCCTCAAGTACTATACTCACAGTGTACTTTCCATCGCGTACGTCGCCGATTGATATAGACAAATTATCCAACGCAGCTAAATGACTGCCGCCAAAGATACAGCCATATGACAGAAGATTGAAAGTCACGAATCTCATATTAGCAAGCTTGCCTGGCTTCCAACGTATTGCTTTTGTTCTCTCTGCAACCTGGGAGAATGTAATCTCAATATCTAGAGTAATTTTTCGCTAATGTAGGTGAAGCGGTAGACGTTATTGAGTACGCGATATGTGATTCACGACGTTTATATTTTTACGTGTAGCAAAGCCGGTAGCTAAACCCTTTCTTCCCTGTCCTGGCCCCCACCTATGAGTGTTGCATCAGCAATTTATAAATACTTCCTACAGAAGAGAAGAGGTCGGACAGAAATTGATGACGGGTAGATGTTGATTGTGTCTAGCTAGAAAGGGAAGCCGAGCTTATTTAGCGCTCATTAACCCGCCCTCCTAGATCTGATAGCGCATTTCGTACTTCATGCTTTATCATATCATTCATCCACTGTATCCCTACCTACCTAAGTATTGCAAATCTCCTATCGCTTGTGCTTCGTCCTGTCATGCCGTTATAGTAACCGTTGTAAGTCTGCTAGTCATCTTAGCCCTGCTCTCTTCATCCGCAACTCCGATCATTCCCCATAATTCCATCCAGCCTGCCGAAATAGCCGTCGAAGCAAAATATCCATTGAAAACATGACTCCCGTCGTCCTTTATCATCTGCGGAGATCAATGCTGGAATTGCGTGCCGAGTCCATACTTGGCCGAACGCTGCTTGAGCTTCGTCTTCTGTGTGCTCTCTGCTCGTTGGGACTTAGTGGATTCAGACCAGATTGACGAGCGAACAGGTTTAGGATATCGGTTAGAGAGATGACGCCAGTGAGACGACCTGATATACGGGCGCTAGGTAAAGCAGCGGCTGAGACTGCCGGGAATGAGGTTGAAAGATTTGGGGATGCCGGGCCGGACACCGCAGGGGATGAGAGAATTGCGCTGGACATAGGGGAGGTTGAATTTGAAGGGTTTGGCAGAGGTGTAGCGCCAGGAGACGGGGAGGCTGCCTCGACGATCCACATTCGGTGCGAACGAGTTGCGACGAGCTTGGCGACTGTGTGTGCCAGGGTTGAAAAAGGGGTGACGTGGAAGACTGTAGATGTAAATCAGTGTGTATTGTGGCATATTGGATATGCCTGCTTACCTGGGAATGAATCTTTTCCGTCACCAATTCCTCTTTCGCTGAGAATGACCGAAATGAAGTGGATACAACTAGACTTCAATAGGGGCAAGCTTGAGCTGTTGGTCAGAAGCTTGACATCTACTGCGGAGATGTTTCCAACAACATTGAATGCACTGTCCACTACTGCGATACTTGTAAGACCTTCTTCATTCATCAACTGAAGTGCATCCGTCAGAACTCGGTCGCCACTGCAAAAGATTTAGTACTGCAAAAAAACGACATCGTAAGGGACCTACTTGATAGCAATAGTCTGAGGTGTTCCGACCTCCAAGTCTCTCAGAATCTTCGGGTAGAGAGCGTTGATGGCAGGGAAGCTGGTGCCATTATCCCAGAGAAATTTCACCAGCTTCAACTGGCTCAGAATCCCTACCACCTCCGTAGAGTCATCTTTGGTAATAAGTATACGGTGTGTTCCACAGGCGAAATGCTCGATGGCCTTGGAAAGGTCTTCCGATTCAGACAAAGTCACCAACGGGCCTTTCTTGGCCAGACCTTGTATCTCCTGCAATGGTATTTCGACACCCTCCCGAGCTTTCTTGGCCAGAGCATCGAACACAGCTACTTGTTCACCTTCAGGGTTGGCTAGGCCTACTACAACTAGTAGATAGGCATTGAGGTCGCTATAATCGAAGGTGCCGCATGCGTTTACGCTGCTCGGTGATTCGCGCAGCAGGATAACGTTTGGAGGTCCCTGCTCGATCAAAAGCTATTCTAGTGTTAGGCAATGCATCAAACGTCATACGGAGTACGGAAATGGGGCCCTCTCTACCTTTGTAGCTTGCTCGACCCCAGTATCCAGCCGAGCCCATCTAACTTCTTCCTTGTCCACGAGCTCTCCGACACGAATCTGTCGCCATTCCCTGCCCGCAAATCTCGGGTCCGCGGCCCTCGCCAGCGGCGGGTGGTTGAGAAGTTCTTGCACTGCGGACTGGGGGAATGACGGGCGTCTCTGTGACCGGGGGGAGTGACGAAGATTGTCTGCGAAGCTTGATCGCTGACTGATGGTTTGGCTGCTGTGCGAGGGGCTTGCTCCGCGTTCAACGAGCGGCTGCACGGGGTCTACCATTCTTGGAAGTTGGTCGGCGCTGTCGTTTTCGTTGTGGTCGTGTACTTTATGAGTTGCGTAGACGTAGACCAGATGTGAGGTTTGTCTAAGAGAAGAGAAGATTGGGTGCTGGCTTGTAATGAGTAGGTAGTAAGCATGGGAATCTGGAAACTGGAATTTGGTAGAGCACGAGAGGCGCGTCGACGAGCTATTGGCGGGGTAGCTACCACGTGACTATCAAAGCAGTGGTGGGATTTGAAGCGGCTGGAATTCAATCTCGATTGAGGTTGATCAACGAATTACTAAAAGAAAGTCTTGGTACCCACCCATGTTATCAAGATAGTGATAGATACCGTATGCACTCAAAGCGGAAGAAAACAGTGCAATCACACCCTTTTATGCATTGAGGCTGAAATATTGTTGGCGCATCAGTTAGTTAGTAGAGCAAATAATTATCTTTGGATATTTATTATAAATCATTATCAATACCTGGTAGCACAGAAAGAATATATAAAATGAAGGTATGAAGGTACCCTGTGCTGCTCATTGCTAACCAGCTACCTTATCTAAGGTAGCAGATGACGATGTTGCGACGCTGTGATTGGCCAGCGAGCCTAGTGCGGCGGGGCATTTTTTTTTGTAGATTCGGCCCAAAGCCAAGACTCCGCTTCAGTCCCGCACTCGACTTGACCGACCCCTCGATGCATCTTCATAATTAATAACAACCTCAACGTCAACGTCGACATTAATATCGACTTTGACTTTCACATCTGACGACCGTTGCTGAAAATCAAAGAGGCCAGTAACCGTTGTCCAGTCCATACCAACGAATAGGCTGTAACCGGCTACAATAAAGCAGAGCATACAACTGCTACGCTACAGCGCGCCGACTGACTGGTGAACGGTGCGTTGACATGTATGATTGATCATGCTAGCTATGATTCAGCCCCTTCCCTGGCAGACGGAGATGAAAATTTTGCATTTGTGCTGCCGCTGATGAACTACTATCTAGGAACGAGCTGAGCTGCCACCACCTGCTCACTGCGGCGCTGCGGGACATCCTCATTCCACACCGGCCTTATCGCTCAATATCGCACGAGATCAATTCTTACGCGTCGCGCCCTAACTCTACGACTTCATTTCCTTGAACGTACATACCTACCGACCTACAGAGATACGCACTACCCGTAAAGATGTCCGTCCTCCCCGCCGACGTGCATAACGAGCTAGCTCAGCTGCTTGACGCGCTGCAGTCGTCCGACAACAGCGTTCGATCTCAAGCGGAAGAGCACTTGGCCAACAACTGGACCGCCACGAAGCCCGAAATTCTGTTGATGGGCTTAGTTGAGCAAATTCAAGGCTCCAACGACCCAACGGTGCGGAACTTCCCTCTCCCTCAGTATCAGTATTGCTAACGTTTAATGCTTCCGTAGACGCGTTCCTTCGCAGCTGTGATTTTCCGGAGGATAGCCTCAAAAGCCCGCAAGCAGGATGATGGCTCCACCGTGGAAACCTTCCTTTCCTTAGATCAATCGCAGGGCTATGTGATTCGACAGAAACTCCTCGAGGCACTGGGCACGGAAACCACAAACCCCGTGAGAAATAAGATTGGAGACGCGGTTGCGGAGGTAGCTCGAGAATATTCTGATGCTAGTATGCCGTCAAAGCCATTCTACTACCTGTAAGATGAAAGCTAACGAGGCGCAGGGCAACAATGGCCGGAAATCTTAGGCGTGCTCTTTACTCTAAGCATGTCAAGCCAAGTTGGACAGAGGGAGATCGCGTACAGAATCTTCTCAGCAACCCCTGGCATTATCGAGAAACAGCACGAGGATACGGTACTCTCTGCTTTTACGAAGGGCTTCAAGGACGAAGATATCCAGGTGGGTCATTTCTGGCTTATTTTTCTTTTAGCACAAGTTTCATATCTGATAACGAGCAGGTCCGTCTGCCAGCAATGGAGGCTTTCTCCTCGTTCTTCAGAAGTATCAACAAAAAATCTCAGCAAAAGTACTACGCCCTTATCCCCGACGTCTTGAACATCCTCCCCCCTCTAAAGGAAAAGCAAGAGTCGGAGGATTTGACCAGAGCCCTGGTTTCACTTATTGAACTTGCGGAAGTTGCACCCAAGATGTTCCGACTCCAATTCCGCAACGTGGTCGCTTTCAGCATCTCAGTGATCCAGGACAAGGAGCTCACAGACCAGGCACGTCAGAATGCGCTCGAGCTGATGGCCACATTCGCGGATTATGCTCCAGGAATGGTCAAGAAAGATGAGACTTACGTCAACGATATGATCACCCAATGTTTGAGCTTGATGACAGATATTGGTGCGGATGATGATGATGCAGCGGAGTGGTGCGCTTCTGACGATGTAAGTCGTGACGCATATTTCAACGGTCGGTTTACTAACTTGGCATAGATGGACCCTGAGGAAAGTGACCTCAACCATGTCGCTGGAGAACAATGCTTGGATAGGTTGGCGAACAAGCTTGGCGGCCAGACTATCCTCGCACCCACCTTCAGCTGGCTCCCGAGAATGACGAACTCTGATGCCTGGAGAGACCGACATGCAGCACTCATGGCCATTTCAGCTATCTCTGAGGGCTGCAGAGACTTGATGATTGGTGAACTCAACCAAGTTTTGGAGCTTGTGGTTCCTGCCTTGAGAGACCCACATCCACGAGTACGATGGGCTGGCTGCAATGCTCTGGGCCAGATGAGTACCGATTTCGCTAGCACCATGCAGGAGAAATATCATCAAATTGTATTACCAGCCATTGCTCTTGCCATGGATTCTCCGGAGCCCCGCGTCCAATCCCATGCCGCTGCTGCATTGGTCAATTTCTGCGAAGAGGCTGAGAAGAGCATCCTGGAGCCATATCTCGATGACCTGCTCACCCATCTTTTCGCGCTACTCCAAAGCCCGACACGCTACCTCCAGGAGCAGGCACTCTCAACTATTGCCACAATTGCCGACTCGGCTGAAGCAACATTCTCTAAATACTACGACACCCTCATGCCACTTCTATTCCAGGTCTTGCAACAGGAGAATACTAAGGAACTCCGTCTTCTTAGAGCGAAGGCAATGGAGTGCGCCACCCTTATCGCCCTCGCTGTTGGCAAGGAAAGACTTGGGAATGATGCTATGAATCTTGTACAAACCTTGGCAGCGATCCAGCAAGGAATCACAGACACTGATGATCCTCAAGCGCAGTATCTTATGCACTGCTGGGGACGTATGTGTAGAGTTCTGGGTGCGGAATTCTTGCCATTTTTGCCAAGTGTTATGCCACCACTTCTGGAGCTGGCTAGCGCGAAAGCTGACATTCAGCTTCTGGATGATGAAGAGCAGGTAGAGAATATCCAAAACGAGGACGGTTGGGAGCTCGTCCCGCTTAAAGGCAAGGTTATCGGCATTAAGACAAGCACTCTCGACGATAAGAATATGGCCATCGAACTGTTGGTTGTATATGCTCAAGTTCTTGACGGTGCATTTGCTCCTTATGTCCCTGAGGTTATGGAGAAGATTGCATTGCCTGGGCTGGCTTTCTTCTTCCACGACCCTGTCCGTGTAAACTCCGCCAAGTGTGTCCCACAGCTCCTGAATTCGTTCAAGAAGCATTTCGGAAGCCCATCGAATGAGTTGACGGGTCTTTGGGAAGGCACAATTACGAAGCTTTTGGAGGTCCTTAGCGCCGAGCCGGCTGTCGATACCCTCGCAGAGATGTACCAATGCTTTTACGAGTCTGTCGAAGTAATGGGTAAGGGCTGTCTGACCGAAAGCCACATGCAAACATTTATTGACTCCGCACATTCCGCTCTGGAGGATTACAAGGATCGTGTTGCCGCCAGAGCTGAAGAGAGAGAGGAGGGTCAACAGGAAGAAGGCGAAGAAGAATCCGAGGATATGATGTTTGCCATCGAGGATGACCAAACTCTCCTTTCTGATATGAACAAGGCTTACCACTGCATCTTCAAGAACCACGGAGTTGCATTCCTCAACGCTTGGCAGCGGCTTAACCCTACCTACGATCAGTTTCTGCGCAGCGAAGATCCTACCCAAAGACAATGGGGTCTATGTATTATGGACGATGTTCTCGAGTTTTGTGGCGAGCAGAGCTGGAATTACTCTCAGGCTATCATCAACCCACTCATCGCCGGGTGTAAAGACCTCGCCCCAGCGAACCGCCAAGCAGCTGCGTATGGTATCGGTGTCGCTGCGCACAAGGGAGGCCCTCAGTGGTCCCAGTTCCTTGTGGGCGCGGTTGAGCTTCTCTTTCAAGTGACCCAGTTCCCAAACGCTCGTGGCGACGACGACGTATATGCGACGGAGAATGCATGTGCAGCCATAGCTAAGGTTTTGCACTTCCACCCCAGGAGTTTGCCGAACCTGCAGCAGGTAATTGTGCAGTGGATCGAGACATTGCCAATCGTAAATGACGAGGAGGCCGCGCCGTTTGCGTACCGCTACCTCGGCGAGTTGATCGAACAGTAAGACACTCTCTCAACCGAATTTGTTTTCTTTCTAACCATACCTTTGTAGACAAAACCCTGCCGTTGTTACTCAAGCCGGAAAGGTCTTCATCTACATCGCTCTAGCTCTGGAGGCCGAGACTCTCCAGGGACAAAATGCACGTATGGCAGTCACAGCTGGCAAAATGCTCCTGCAGAACGCGGGTCTGGAACCAAATCAGATCCTGCTACAGCTCTCACCCGAGGCCCAGCAAACGGTTCGCGCACACTTTGGTTGATTGCATTTTCTGGGTCGGGACGGAGTTGCAGCACACCTCATGGATAGGCAAGGATAGACAAGGGAGGGAGGATATTGAAAAAGCGACGACGATAGAACGATTTGATACCACACTCGCACGGGCTACTAGTCTTTCTTTTTGTCCTTGGGGGATGGCCGGTCGGCCGTGTCACCATTTAGCATAGCGAGACTTTGAGGGAGAAGTTTGTGTTCATTGTATGGTTCGTCGGGGGACTTTCTGTTCTTTGGGGTCTTCGAATATTTGGGCAGCTAGGCCTGAGCGGGTGGAGTGCAGAAAGGCCAGTGCGTGCTTGCTGTATTACCCGAGTGGCTTGTAGAAGCTCAATGCCACAGCGTTTGTCTCTATCGCTATACGTAGTTCATCTTGTGGAGAGGATCGGTATGGTAATCTGTGGATACGATGTTTTTTTATTTACTTGCTGTCCAGCCTGGCCCGGTGTGTCTTGAATGCAATGGCGGGGTTGGTGGCCGGACGGTGTACGCAGTAAGGAGAACGAGATAAGGTTTGCCCCGTCCGGCGAATAAACAGCAATGCCATCTGGCAGGCCAACCTCGAGACGAGTCTTGAGACCAGAGAGCCTCAACCTACCTATCCTGTGTCGATCTCATCAGATCACCCCACATTCAACATTTACGGAGCATCATCACATCACTTCTCAACTTCATTTTATGACCAGTAAATAGTCACGACCCCAGCCCCAACCCGCCCAAGGCCCAGAGCAGACAGAGCAAAGCTCCCTCTCCCTCGACGCCCATGCCCGCAGAAGCTGGCCCACGACAAATATCGCCGCCGTCGCACATCTTCAACACATGAAAACCTCCCTCCGACGCTGATCTCCTCCCTCTGTATCTCCGCTAAAAGAGCATCGTGTCGACCCGACCCGACCCATCCCCAGGTCCGGCTTGGCCTGGCCTCCCGTCTGCGGATCAAACCGCTGGATCGAACAGCGCGACTTGGTGCAGCTACGACGATCTGCGATACCCGCTTCGGCCTAAACTTCCCGATAGCCTCATTGCTAAGGACGGGAACCGGAACGGGGACGGGGACGGGGACGGAGACTAAGCAGAGCCTCGACGGTCACGGACACATCTAAATCGAATTACCGGCACGGAGTCGCAAGGCGAAAGAAAATAAGAGGCGCAAATACGAACGACAGGGCATTTTGGTCCATTCCATCTATCCATGATAATTCCGCCAGCCTTGCTCTGCCACTGCCACCACCCTCATGATTCCACTCTGTCATTATAAACCATCCACGGCTCAGGCAGATTGACAGTACAGATGCTGGCTGGGACGATGGACAACTTCTTCAGCTCGCAGTATTCCCAAGAAGATTTGCAACACCGGCTTACCCAGCGGAGACGGAATGGCCCCTCACGAACGACAAGCACAACTATGGTGCCACAAGTAGGCTCACCAAACGGTAATGAGGAGATGGCAGGAATGATGCCGAACGACTCGCTGCCCGACATGATGATGCAAAATAGCAACGAGTTTCAACAGGGGCAGAGCATGCCACAGGGGTACCAGAATCAGGACATGGATCGTAGAGCGTCAATGATGGAATTCGGTGCTGGGGATGGCCCCTTGAATGGATTCCAATTCGAACCCCAAGCCACATTCCAAGAAGATTCGCGAGGCAACTTGCGGGACACACCTGGGAACGAAATGGGCATGGGAGGCGGGTACGTCAACATGAACTCTGGGATGAACATGCCAGGTCAAGAAATGGGGTTCACATCTTCTATGCACATGCAAGACTCTCTGACGATGAACAATAATTCATTTGCCGGCATGAATGGGGAAATGATGCAGAATCTGATAGCATACTCACCTATGGGCATGAATGGATTCTCTGATGAAGACTCGAACGCGATGAACATGTTCTCTCCGCAGAACTACGGGCAGCCTTTCGGAACAGGGAACATGGATACCATTCAGGGGAATTTTATGGCCTCCCCGAATATGCCTGACGGTTTATCAGCTCGCGGTCCCAGTGGGAATGCTCTCGATGGCCCGGAGAACATGACCCCGTCTGGACAAGAAGTCGTCGTGACTGAAAACGCGACCTTGAGCCCGACGAGGAACTTGAGCGTGGACCAAAATCTGGAGCAGTATGGTTCGCCCGTAAAAAACATCCCTCCAGATCTGGAGAGATCAAATCAAACTTCATCTTTTAGTGTACCGGCACCTCCCACCCCTGCATCAGCGCCGGGTGCTTCGCCCAAGATCGACGTCAAGCCGGAGCCACCCGAAACACCTATTCAATATCCAGGCATATACTCCTCGAGTGGTTTTGACATGTTGGGAGCTCTGATGAAAGTTGCGACCAGGAAGAATCCGGAAATTGATATTGGCAAGGTTGACATGTCATGTGCATTCGTGGTCTGTGATATCATGACATACGATTGCCCTATTATATACGTCTCCGACATTTTTGAGCGGTTGACTGGCTACTCCAAGCACGAAGTCATGGGTCAAAATTGCCGCTTTCTGCAATCACCAGAGGGCAAGGTGGTGGCTGGAGCACGAAGAGGATTCGTGGACAACAGTTCTGTCTATTATCTAAAGAACAGGATAGCCGAGAAAAAGGAAGCACAGCGTAGCTTGATCAACTATCGCAAAGGAGGGCAGCCTTTCACGAATCTTCTAACCATGATACCCATCACTGGCGAGGATGACAAGGAAATTAGATATATTGTGGGATTTCAGGTTGACCTGGTCGACAAGCCTGCTTCCATAGAGGCAAAGAACGCGAAAGGCATGTATACTGTCGACTACTCCCAAGGCCTACTGGAGAAATTCATATGGATTCCACCTGAAAACAATCGACAAGGTCGATACCTGGATGGTGGGCAGACGATTAGTCGGGATGATGTTAGTACTGTTTTGGGTTCGGTCAATAGCAGCACGGAGTCGGACTTGACGAAGCGCATGTGGGACAAGGTCTTGCTGGAGAACACAGATGATGTTGTCCACGTTCTCTCTCTCAAGGGTCTCTTCCTTTACTTGTCGCCATCATGCCGCAATGTTTTGGAGTACGATGCATCGGAGCTTGTTGGGACTGCCTTGTCGTCTGTGTGCCATCCTAGTGACATTGTGCCTGTTACTCGAGAGCTGAAGGACACATCGGCAGGAATGCCAGTCAACGTTGTTTTCCGCATTCGGCGCAAGAAGAGCGGCTACACGTGGTTCGAGAGCCACGGATCACTATGCGTAGAACAAGGCAAGGGTCGAAAGTGTATAATTCTTGTTGGAAGAGAGCGGCCCGTGTACGCTCTCCATCGAATTGATATTGAAGCAGCCGGAGGCATCGGCGAGAATGAGATTTGGACCAAACTGTCTACTTCGGGCATGTTCTTGTTCGTCGCGTCAAACGTGCGGACTCTGCTAGACCGTTCTCCCGATGATCTTGTGGGCACCAGTATCCAAGCGCTGATGCGTGCCGAGTCACGCGTAGAATTTGGCCGTTCGCTTGAGAGGGCAAGAACTGGCAAGCGCACGACGCACAAGCATGAGATTTTCAACAAGAGAGGCATCGTTTTGCAGGCGCAGACGACACTGTACCCAGGTGATGCGGCCGAGGGCCAGAAACCAACATTTCTCGTTGCTCAAACGCGATTATTGAAATCGTCGACACGCGCTGTGGCTCCCGCGCTTGGCTCTCATAGCTCGAAGGCGATCAGTCCGATACAAAGGATGGATCATCAGTCTGATGATGCGAGCACCCTCGTCGTCCGCTCCGCGTCAGCGACGCTTGGTGAATCGTCGTCCACCGCACCCTCGTCCAGGCTGGGGCCTCCCGTGCCAGGCCTCATCTCACAGGCTGGAGGACCGGGACTACCGATCGGCTCACAGGATCTTGCCTTGGCATCGAAAGAAAACATCTTTGACGAGCTGAAGACGACTCGCTGTACGAGTTGGCAGTTCGAACTTCGCCAAATGGAGAAGAGCAACAGACTCTTGGCCGAAGAGCTGGCATCTCTTCTATCAAGCAAGAAGAAACGCAAGAGGCGGAAGGGGAGTCACCCTCAACGCGACTGCGTTAATTGCCATACCCGTGTCACCCCTGAATGGCGGCGTGGACCTAGCGGTCAGAGGGATCTATGCAACAGTTGTGGATTGAGATGGGCCAAGCAGGTGAGTCGCAGTAATTCTGAAGCTAGTGACCCTATCCGACGTGGAATGAGCTGTTCCCAGTCAGACTCATCCACGTCGCAAAGTTGATGTATTTGACGATACACACGCCCTTGCCCTTATTGTCTTTCGCTTGCTTTTGGATGCTCAACCTTCGAACTTCGCACTTCAGATTTTTCGACAGCCGACAGGGCTTGTAAGGTTTGAAAATACGAGGCGAGATGCCGTATTGCTTTCAAAGGGTTATTGGCCATCATCTGCTTCGCCGCGTCTGTATTGGTGTCAACAAGCGCCCTGCCAACAATCACCGCCGCTTTTCTCTGCCCTATCTGTTACCCCACCGCTTAAATGTTAGCTGCGACACCTTTGTATCCCGGTCAAAATTTCATACCACCAAAGCAGATCTCATATTACCCCTGTGCACTTCGCTAACACCTCCACCCCTCACAGACCGGGCGAGTTTCCCCGCGCAACTCGGCAGCCCGAGGCGGCGGTGACGGCTCTAAGCACTCGCAGAACTCGTCGTCGCCGATCCACTCCTCGCCGCTACAGAAGGAGGTCCCGCAGTCTGGTCCCTCGAAGCCGAACCTCAACGTCGACCAGTCGACGGTGGGTGATGTGAAGGGCAGCGGGGCAGCGGTGCCGGAGGCGCTGGGTGGTCGGAGCACTATGAACAGTATGCCGATCCACGCCACGAGCCAGGGGTTCCGGGAGGGCGGGCAGAGGATGATTACCAATATTGACGAGAGAGATGAGGGGGTTACGTGAGGCGAAAGTAGGGCGTTTTGTGGTATTCCATCCTAACAGGATCTGGATCTACGAGGCCAATTATCTTGAGGTGTAGGCTTTTGGCAGCTACGCTCGTGGGATTTCAGAGAGAGAAGAAGAGATGGCAAGAACAGAGGGATGGAGTCGAGTGGGATATGAACAGAAAGAGAAGATTAGTGAGATTGCGGGAGCTCGAGTTGAGGCTGGGTTTTGGAATTTGGGACAAAGGGGTTCTGGACCGAGCTAGTGTCGGACGGGGGCGAAGTAGGAATGGATAGGTAGGTACATACATGTATACATGCATAGTATCCAGTGAAGAAACTTTTTGCTTGTGTAGCTATTTAGCCAGCTGGCGTATGAATTTTCGAGCTGTATCTAGTCTATTATAGCTCGGCCGGATTCGGGTTCCGGCATGCACGGGGATAAGTCCAGCGGGCGCTACTGAGGATGGGAGATGGGGATAAGGTGAGCTGGAGAGGGGGAAGGGATGAAGGGAAGGCTACCTATTTCAATATTTTATCTACTGAAGTTCCCCCCCGTCGTCTATAAAGATGGATGGATACCTGCTTGCTTATCTATAGACCTCCCTACTACTTATTCACGATACAGACTATTTCGTGAAAATCTGTTGCGCTATTTTTTGATTCTGGAATTGGCCGACGGACTGGTAGGGATGGATGGCACCCCGTCTTGCATGATCTATATCGGATGAAAATAAACACTGACGGTTCTGAACCGAAAATGAATTCAAGGGTGCGGGCGGTGTTACTATAGCAGCGGTCGTGGTGGTAGCGGTGGATCTCTTCCCTGGCTTTTCTCATTCTCTCTCTCTCTCTCTCTTTTTTTTGCCTTCTGGCTTTTCGGTGGAGACTTGTATCATGTCATCGCTTTGGAATAGTTAAATTGAGTTATGCAGGATGAAGGAAGGTTGCTGGTATCATCTTCTGTATCCGTGTATCTCTCTATAAGGATGAGATGGATGGTGGAGAGGGAAAGAGAGGAGAAGAGAAGGATGCGAATTTGTCTGAGCTGGCGCGGAGAAGGAAGGAGGTTCGCGGCTCGGGACGGGTGTTCGGTATTTTATTTCGTCGGGGTGGTGATGGTGTCGTGGCTAGGTATTGCGGCTTGCGGTGTGTATTAAGGTTGGCTGGTTTTCCAGGATCGGGGGTGCCCGGACCTGGTTACTTTCATGGTGGTGGGTTCCGATTATCTGTTTTGAGTGTTTGGTGCTGTGTAGGGAAGATTTATGGGCAGGAGAAGAGTTGATGCAGGCGGCGGACGGACGAACGTTGGGATTGGGATTGGGATTGAAAAGGGGAAGCGAGGCTCGGCAGGTTTAAAGAGCTAAGCGAGCCCCTGGGCTCATGGCAAAGCAAAGAAGAGCAGAGCAGTCCAGCGTGTGCGAGGCTCACTTGATAATGCACAAGCCACAGCCACCAGTCTCATCCTTCTTTAAGGTAGATTTTCGATCTTTGTGTTACATCAATCCCCAAACCGCTCAAGCTCATTTATATCCTTCCCTTCCTCTTCCCCCAAAGGCCTATTTCATCACCTGATCTTCGGACTCGGACTCAGATCCATTTCGGAACCAGCTTCACCCTCGCGCAACTCGCCGGGTAGACATCATCAGGTGCGTTGAAGCCCTTGATGAGCTGGAACAGCTGCGGCAGATTCGCGCCGTGGAACCACTCGCACGCGAGCCAGCCGCCGAACTCGGTGCTGTTAATGATGATGCCCTTCGAGCCTGGGTTTGCAAAGCCTGTGCTACCGTAGCTGATGCCGATGGACTTTGGCATGTTAGCTTCTTAGCGGGCTCCTTGGAGGGTTTTTTGGCGGAGAGGGCGGGTATCAAGGTTATGTATGGCTCCAGACTTTGGAGATGTTTTTGTTTAGGAAAGGGAAGGGGCAAGGGCAGAGCGGTAGCGGGAACAGTATCAGTCTTTAGTTTTCACATACAGTCGGTTCCCATCTTGCGTAGTTGCTATCGCCCGCACTCGCGACCAGCGAGAATGGGTATGCGTTGGCGTCGAATTGCAGCTGGGTATTGTTCAGATAGGCAGGCGTCCCGGCAACTTTGAAGACAGGGTCTGCGATTCCAGCTCCGGTGTGGTAGGCTTCAACTGAATGATGATGGATTTAGAATTGATGTGGTTTGGGGAGGCAAAAGGGGGGGCGGAGTGGGGGAGTATATGTACTTTGCTGGCCGTCATACTTTGTGAGGAGAGTGCCTTCGGTTACTACCATCGTGACGTAGAACTCGCGTGTGTTGTTCACGGTGCCGGAAACGAATGATGCGGGCCTCTTAGCAAGACTGGATATCGATGGAGCTGCGGAGGCGAGACCAGCTGCAGCTGCGTAAGCGAGAACGAAGGGGCGGAGGGAAACCATGATGTCGTTGATATTGAAAGTTTTGATATGGGACGAATTTGGGATTGTGTTTCTGGACGATGATGACACGGGGATGGGTGTATGCAGAGGGCTGTAGGTCTTTATCTTTCTCGTAGGGTGAGACTTGAATACACAATAGACATTGTCATGTCGCACCTCGCTAGTCGATCTTGTTATGATTGTTGTTATGATCTATAAGCTGCACAACCGATTCGGTGCGCATCCCTTCGTATTCTGCCAGGCCATTCTTAACACAGGTAGAAGGCACTCTCTCCGATCTCCGAGGTAAGAAGTCAGGTGCGCAGGTTCTCTCTGGACGTTTATATTCTGCATACAAACGTCCAGTTGATATTGGAGCAAGCAGCGCGTAGTGCAGTGTGACGTCGCTAGATGTGGTCAAGATCTATTTTACTACCAAACATAGCTGATTTTGCTAAGTAAGCTTGAAAGATTTCATAATCCAGTCCGGCAGCAGAAATATTCATCCGTTCCTTCTGGGGTACTGCCGTCGTCCTGTTCACTAAGGAGATATAGGATCGTCTCGGATACTAGTGGGCGACTTTACTGCTGGCGTTCATCGCTCTCGTGTGCTGCGCGATTCTAATATCTTACAATGAAAAAAAATATACCTTATCAGGCCTCAAAAACTCTGGAAAACCATAACAGAACTTGACTTTCATCTCCTTTTGAAGCTCGCTTCACAGCTACCCATATTCTATCCACGTGATCTTGTAAATCGGCGCCGTCTCGGCTAGCTGCACCCGCCGGTACCCAGTGACAGTTTTTGTTCTCCGTATTTCCAGATTGAAGGGTCCACCTGCATCTAAGCATTTTCCAAGCCGCCATGGAACATCTTTACGTTGGCAACTACTGTATCTACAGCCTTCTTATCTCCAGATTGAGGCGATTATCTGAGTGAGATCTTGAGATGAGATCTCAGATCCTGAGATGAGGTCGCAAGTGCAAGCTCTCACACAGCAGCTGGCTGCGTAAGCCAGCGACGGCAGGCTCGCCACGCAGACCCGCCATGGCTCATATTTCTGGATCTTTTCCCTTCTCTAGCCATTCAGAAGAGAGAGATAGGCTTGCTGTTCGGATCACTGGAGATTAAAGATGGGGCGTCGGGGTGGGTGCCCCGAGTTTACGGAGCGCAGGGCACGAATTGATCCCTAAAGAAAAGGAAAAGAAAGGAAAGACTAGTCTTGCGTGAGACGGTGAGACCACGTTGCTGCTTTCATCTCTTGTTTCTCTTGTTTTTCTTGGAGAAAAGCTTCTTTGGCTTGGCCGATTGCATTTGCTGTTCTTGACCATCGTCAAATTCTATTGACCCCTTTATAGGGCTTATCGCTCGCTCGCTTGCTTGCTTGTTCTCGGATGCCAATTCATATACTATGTACAAATTGCTTTTCGGCCCTGCTTTGATTGATTATCGGATCCAATAGATTCTTCCCTTGGTGTAAGGCTCGAGTGTCCTGGCGAGGATTGAAGATGAAGGGGACTCGGATCTTGGCTGCTGGAGTGGCCTCTGCTTCGTGGACGCAACTCGTGGCAGCTGGGGTGACGTTAGACATCACATCAACAGGTTCGCTCCCATTTGAAGACGCCACCTCGACATCCGTCTAACAGCAAAAAACTGCAGACTCGATAAAGTCGGCAGCTTCGACAATAGCCTACGGCATGATGAAATACTACACTGGAAACAATACTGGCGATAACCCAGGTAACCTCCCTGCGCCTTACTACTGGTGGGAAGCTGGCGCTACTTTTGGAACGATGGTCGAGTACTGGTACTATACCAACGACACCTCCTACAACCCAACCGTAACCGCTGCGATCCTCTCCCAAGTCGGCGATGACAAGGATTTCATGCCCAAGAATCAGACCAAATCGGAAGGAAACGACGATCAAGGTTTTTGGGGCATGACCGCTATGTCTGCAGCAGAAATGAATTATCCGAACCCGCCTGACACGGAACCGCAATGGCTGGCACTCGCACAGGCTGTGTTCAACGAGATGGTCGCGAGATGGGATACCAGTACGTGCGGGGGAGGAATGAGGTGGCAGATCTTTACTTTCAACTCTGGATATACGTACAAGAACTCCATTGCGAATGGATGTTTGTTCAATATCGCGGCGAGGTTGGCAAGGTATACGGGAAACCAGACGTATGCGGACTGGGCGGAGAAGACGTGGGACTGGATGGAGACGATGGGCTTAATCAGCGATGATGGGAAAGTCTACGATGGGTCCAGCGATACCGAAAACTGCACGTCGATCGACCACTTGCAGTTTTCGTACAACCACGGCATCTTCCTCTTTGGTGCTGCGGTGATGTATGAATTCGTACGTTGCCCGGTCTTCGCCGTTTGAGTTTCGGTCGCCGAAAAGAAGGGAGATTGAGAAGCTGACGCAAACACAGAAGAACCAATCGTCTGTCTGGCAGGGTCGCCTCGAAAGCCTTATCAAAAACATAGACATCTTCTTCAAAAACGGTGTGATGTTCGAGGCAGCATGCGAGACCGTCAACAACAACGCCGGAGCCTGCAACACGGACCAGCTGTCCTTCAAAGCCTACTTTTCGCGCTGGCTGGCCGCAACGGCCAAGCTCATCCCAGCCTACCACGATACCATCATGCCCCTTCTCAAGACCTCCGCCGCGGCCGCCGCGGCCCAGTGCAGCGGCGGCACCGACGGCGTCACGTGTGGCGGGCACTGGTACCTCGATTACGACGGGAACTATGGCTTGGGACAGCAGATGAGCGCGCTGAGTGTTATCCAGGCGATGCTGATCGACGAGGCGCCGCAGCTGCTCACCAACACGACGGGCGGCACGAGTCAGGGAGATGTGAATGCCGGCACTGGAGATGATGCTTCGGAAATTGTTGTCATCACGCCGGCGACGACGGCCGATAAGGCCGGGGCGGCTATCTTGACGGCGGCTGTTCTCGCGGGGTTAGTCGGGGGAGTGGGTTGTTTGGTTCTGGGGTAAGACGCGAGGGGGGGCGAGGGGGGTGGGATTTAGCATTTAATACTGTTCATTGCCGTCGGGTGGCCAAGAACCAGTGACGCCGCGGTACAACATATATGCTCCACCGATGACCACGCGGAAGAAGGCGAGCTATGTGATCCATCCCGCAATAAACGTAATGAGCCAACCACAGGTGAGGCCGTTCACCACAAACCCAATAAATGCTGACAAGAAAGAGTTGAAAGCCCGGAACTGCGGCCACCGCAGTGCGTCGATACGTCTGTTCAGGAGGAAAGCCCTGCCTACATATGATTTGGAGTGTCGCTGTGCAAGTCTCGAGATAGTCTCTAGAATAGATTATCGTGGCTTACCGTGGCGCAAGCTTACTCTCAAAGGCTCGAATCGTGAGGCTGATATCTAGCACCGCAGTTTATTGGCCACTGTGAGCGAGAGCGGCAGATGCCTGCATAAGCGAGGGCAACATCACCTAACTGGCGACCATCAAGAGTCATACATACGAGGTGCGAAGGCTCATATATGTAATTAAGATAAGCAATTCAGACTCATACAGACTCTCGACCTGTTAGTCGATCTATTGCGACGGAGCGATCCGGGCATAAAGATCCTTCACATCAGTTTGTTTACGATGTTTAGCGAGAGGGCGATGGGGGCTTGGCACTTACCTTTCACATCGTTAGTACTAAGTAATCACAGCAAAGATCAATATACCGCAGAACTACCCCCGTCCCGGATCAGCAACGTTGGAACGAAAGTGTTGCGTATCGTCGTTGGCAGTTGTGGAGTCATCCTGATCTGCCAGGGAAGAGAAGACCCTTCAACCTGCAGAAAGACGTGTACTGTCTGTCAAGACAGGTAGCGTGTATGCGAATTGCGAAGCTCTCTCACGTGCCCATCGCTTGTCGAAGATTGCCGCATAAGGCGTCCATCCTGAGTCCGCTGCAATAAATAGAGAAACTGATTCGTACTGAAAACGAGTCTGGTAGTGCTCCAGCTCGCAAAGAATGTTCGATGTCAACAGGCAGGAGCGGGTGCAAAGACAAGAGAGAGGGCTTGGTTGGAAAAACAGGGTGTTCAGGCTAGTCTAGCTTCACACATATGTAGCGCGCTTCAACGCTGAAGAACTGGAGGGGGGGGGGATGCAGTGATAATACCTGCCATGCATGATGTTGTGTCCGCGAATAACTGAAAAATAGCTTTGGAAATGTCAACAAACCCTGGCAATAGCGGCAGTTTCCAGAAATGCAGTTCTGGTAGCAGAAGCTAACCAGCTACTGCGTACATTCCCTCAGTTAAGAATAAAAGCGACCTCTTGAGCTTTTACAGCCTGGAAATGGATCGATTGAAAAAAGAGCTGTAGCAGATCAGCCTCGCTATCTTCTGCTAAGAAAAAAATCAACCATCTAAATAACATTTCACGTCAGAGCGAGGGCAGAGAGATATACAGATTCTATTTTCAACTTCCTTCCACAACGGAAACAAATCTTATGACGAGATGAGTGTGTAACGCGAACTCCACTTGGCTACGAAAGGTCCATGCCGGCGATGAGCTAATCTAAAGCACCCTGCACCTTTTTTTGTTGCACGTCGCATATTGCTCATTACTCAGCGCGCCCGCTACAAGAAAGACTTGCTGAGTCAAGAGAAGGGGCATAGAATACCAAATCCTTTGAAAAACATTTCAAATAAAAGATAAAAATAAGATCGAATTCGCTGTCGGATTCGGATGTAGCAGATCTTCACAGCCGCGAATCCCAAAAATACGGAGATCTCTCGAGAAAATCCGCATTCTGAAGAGAAGCGGTAATAGAAGTCTGCCCCAGACAGCCTCCACACGTTCCAGCCTTTGGCAAGATACGCAGGTACAGCGTGTCGTCTCGCTGAGGAGTTTGATGTCTCGCATGGAATACAGAGTTTCAAGGAATGTTCTCGCCTTGTACTCCACCTGGCCTCGCGAATATTGTGTTGCTCGGATATTCCAATAACGAAACGAAAAAGAAAAGTGAAGAAAGACAGGGAAGAGGAGGATAGAGGGCAAGAAAGAAGAGGGGAAGAATCAGCTTACCGTGCCGCAGCAAATTGGCATGTGTAGGTGGTACTTATCGTCTTCGCCCCGGGTATCATTCATACACTAGAAAACATCTCATCTGAAATCCCATGATCAAGGCCTGTCGCCTAGAAAATCATCTTCCGCGCACTTTCTCTATTCTCCATGTTTGCCAGTGCCTGCTCGATGCCCATGACGTCCAACTCACCTCCATTGGTGCGCGTCTCAGCCAAAGCAAGTCGACCAATTGACTTCTCAAAGGATGACTCGCGCGCAGGCTTTCCTGATAACAGCAGCATATATCGATGCTCGCCCAACACGAGGATGTCGGTCGAGAAGCCGGTAGAGTTGGGAGTCTTGGCAATTTGCTCGATCCCTGAACAGCGTTCGCCTAGGAGACTGATGTTCTCGATCTTGGTCATGCGAGCGCCTGCAGGGCCATTGAACAGGCTTCCCCCTCCACCAGTCTTTTGCGCATTGGCAGCCCAGTATTTGGCGAGGTTGGGAATAATGGTGTAAGTTTCTCCAAGCCAGAAAAGGACTGATTCATCGGCCACAGAACTAGGTGAAGATGACCGTACTTCGGAAACCGATATTTCCCCTCGAACTGCCCCGTTGGATCGCCCACTGAATGGGTCCGCCGACTTTCGCGTGCCTGGTGTCATAGGAACAAATTTCGAACTAGGAATTTGTGGTTGTCCAGAGGCCCGAGGCGTAACTGCTCCGTCGATATATCCTGTGAGGCTATATTGCGACTTTGATCCTCCCTTAATACCCTGACGACCAATCAGACCTTGTGGTGCACCTGGACCGACTCCTTCGATATCCCAGATAGCCCATTCTCCATCATTGAGTAGTACGATGATGGCTCTTCCACTCGATACCCACTTTGCATCAACTATAGTCTTTCTTCCAAAACCCGCGTGCAATCCATTGTGTTGAAGTGCTTCCGGGTCATTTTTGATATTTTGGAAACCGGCGTAGAGAGATAGGAGCCAGGTTCCCTGCTCCGCCACTCCAACCTCCGAGGGATCTTCGTTGGGTCTGACGAGGAGCTTGAAATCATAGATACGACAGATCCCAACAGATTCTGCGACTAGCAGGTGGCTCGCATATTGTTTGGAGATAGATGAGTTGAATGTAATGGATTTGGCTGGAGAAGACAAGCTGACCGACTGGAACGGCTCTACGCTTTTGGGGAAAGCCTTGACGGGAACCCGCCACAGAAGCAAAAGTCCGGTCAGCTCTCTCGAGTGAGAAGCAACGACTATTTGTGGATCGAAGCGTCTAGATTCTACAGTAGCCGGACCAAAGTCTGCCGTCATTGAGACGCCATCTGAGGGTTTGCGATGGCCACTGAGCAGTGTCACAGTCTCTCCCCATGTGCCGCTCCCAGCGTATGCAAGTGTGAAGTCGCTCCATAGTTCAGATCGGGCTTTGCTAGCCGGCGAGGGTGGAGTAAGAGGTAGGTTGACCAGACGAACATAATTATCGGCGCAAGATGCAGCGAACACTATCTTCTGCTTCAAAGGCTCTAAGCCTTGCCATGATGGCCCATCTGCTTTCAAAACTGTAGGAGGCAATATCGCGAGGTGGAAGACATCGGTCCCGAACCATAAGTCGAGCTCTTGCAGCACGCCGGGGTATGGCCTCGATGGGTCCAGTTCCTCCTCGTGGTCTTCGAATTCTGGCTTATCATCGAAAGCTTTCTTTTCGGGGGTCTCGTCATCATCGGAATCAAGAGATATGACACCAGAATTACTAGCACCGTTGGTCTTCTGATGATCGGGCAACGCGGTCTGCTGCGGTTTGAATTTTCTGCCACCTCTCCAAATTATCTTCACGCCATTTTCGTGCCCATACAGAATTACTGTAGACCCGTTCGCAGAAAGGAGAGGATACGCTTTTGCGGTGTGAACTCGATGAGGTAATTCGTAGCTATTATTGTTAGTCCGTTTGCTATTTGTCCTGGGGGATGATCTCACGTCAAATGAACCCCTTGAGGAGTATTCGCCATTCTAGGCTGGGAATAAACTCCTGCCATAGTATTTTCAAATGGACGGCGAATGCTGTGCAGGTCACCCAGCTATCGTAGTTTGGGTCGTGGAAGCAGATTTGTTGTATGCCGGGGTGTGGTGAGCGCGTTGTGACTTTGAAGGCGCGATTTGCCAAAATCGGACTTAAGTTCCGCCGTTCCGACCCCTGTTCGGCGACTCGCCGGCAACATTGCTCGTCTCCTTGTCATCCGCCGTTGGAAAATGGAAACAAAACAGTACAAGCGAGTGCCTAGTTGCAGAGGTATTCTTCACGTTGAACTCCTACTAGTCGGCCCGTAAGAAAGGGGACCTATAAAGCTGTCCCTCTCCCTCTCTCCCTCTTGTGGTCTCTTCCTAAGAAAGAAAAGAAAGCAAAGAAAGCAATACTCACGTGAGAGCGTACTCATTGATATCGGTACTGACCTATAATTCCGGGGTCAAGACAAGCAGTCAAGCGAGTCTAGTGCGGATATAGCGGCACCACTGTTGTCTGCGCCTCTTCATTCAGCCACCGCTTTCGCCCTAGGAGATTTTTAAATCTTCGCCAGACGCCCATTGCCAGACATACGTAGTATTCTTCTGACAGCCCAGTATCTCGAACACTTTAATCTCACTCTTGGCCCTGGTCGAATGTCTCGAAGTCAGCTTCAACACTGACAAGAGCAGCATTAGTAATACAGTACAGACCGCTTTATCAAAAGCTTATGTACCGGTATAGCCAGCCAACTTTGCCCAGGAACTCTTTCTCGTGATGCGGGTTGGCAGAATTTGTTATGACTTTTCTCTTTGGTTCTTAATCCTCACTGTCCCTTGCCATGCCCCAGCTCTAAGCATCTCTGCCTCTTGACTCTTGACTCTTGACTCTTGACTCTTGCACTCTTGCGCTCGGGAATCCCTCACCCCTACATTCTTGTGTGGGGTTACGCACTTCAACCCTACTGTACATTCTTGTGTGGGGTTACTTCCCGCATACACCAAAAGCTGGGGTGGGGTACATACACCACTCTTTCGGTGAATATTTTCGGTGTCTCTGCATCTACCTACAAATTTCGAGGTTCCGCAGTCAGCGTATGGGTACTATACGAACATCCTATCGGCATCACGGGGATGGCAGACTTCGGAGGTCCAGAGAAAGACCAAGTTCCCGAACCGTCTTCGGGATCGCATCTCACCCAGCAGCGCTCAAACGATCTGATGGAGGATCTAGAGAAAAATGTTCACACATTAGCATCCTTCCCAGCACACACCTCACATTCAAACTCATCTCACGAGTCGATAGACACGGATCCGCCATCACCCCTCGAACGCGCCTTGACAGCTACAGATCTCGCTACTGAACCCGAGCAAGAAATCTGCCAACCTCTAACTTACACCCGGACCGGAGCTTCGCTCGCCACCACTGGATCCCAAATCCCAGCTTTCGAGGTCGATTTCGCTGAGAATGATCCCGATAACCCATTGACCTGGCCCTTGTGGTACCGCAGTATGGTGATCACGGCCGTCAGTTACGGGACATGGACTGTGGTTCTGTTCAGCACGAGTTACACATCCAGTATACCTGGCATGATGGAGGAATTTGAGGTGGAAAGCAGGTTAGTAGCGACAATGGGCTTCACAACCTACCTTCTCGGAATGGGTGTGGGAGGATTGGTTTTGGCACCGATGAGTGAGATGTACGGGAGAAGGATCGTGTATAATCTCAGTCTGGCTTTTTTCTCTTTGCTTGTGTTACCATGCGCTCTAGCGCGCTCGCTCTCTGTAATTACGGTTGTTCGCTTTATGAGGTAGGATTGTGTTCGTCACAAAGAGTTATTTGTAAGCTGACTTGCGTATAGCGCCTTTGCTGGCTCTGCTATGACAGCAAATTCGCCTGGAACAGTGAACGATGTTGTGACCGAGGACCATCGTGCTCTTGCTTTCAGTATATGGAGTATTGCCCCGATGAATGGACCCGTCACGGGACCCCTCATCGGTGGGTTTGTAGCGCAATACCTAGGTTGGCGATGGACGAATTGGCTTGTGTTAATTTTGGCTGGGGCAGGATGGATTTGGTGCTCATTGATGCGAGAAACGTACGCTCCCTTAATATTGCAAAGGAAAGCAGCGAAGATGAGGAAAGAGACTGGAGATGAAAGATGGTGGTCTCGCTATGACCAAAAATTGAGTGGTAAGTTGCAAAGAGAGCCGTGAATTTTGGAACACAGCTGAATGTTTGACTAGTCTTCGAAGTTTTGAAGACCAACCTCTCGAGGCCCTTTGTGCTGGCAGTTACCGAGCCTATATTATGGTTTTGGAACGCCTATATTGGCGTAAGTAAAGTCGGTGTCTTGTGTTTGTAGAATTCCCAAACCTGCTCGCGACCAATTAGGAACTGCAAAGGCCCCCTTCCCAATCTGGAACCCTCGCTGAAAAAATCACCAGTTCATTTACGGTGTGTTATACATGTGCTTTGTAGCGTACCCAATAGTCTACACCGACCTCCGTGGCTGGTCACTAGGCATGACCGGCTTGGGATTCGTGGGCATCGGAATCGGGACCATGTTCGCAATTTGCACCGAGCCTCTGGCCCGCCGGATCGTGAACTCCCACCCGAAGGACCCCGAAACCGGGCGCGTCTACCCAGAAGCTTCAATCAGCATCGTCTGCTTCGCCTCCATCCTCTGCCCGATCGGCCAACTGTGGTTCTCCTGGACTTCCGTCCCTATCACCATCCATTGGATCTGGCCTATCCTGGCAGGAATCCCATTCGGAGCCGGCAACACTCTGGTCTTCATCTATGCCTCGAACTACATCATTGGCTCGTACGGGATATATGCTGCGTCGGCCCTCTCTGGCAATAGCATTACTAGGGCGATGGTCGGTGCGACGCTGCCTCTTGCGGGCCCGAAAATGTTTGCGGCGCTGACGCCGCAGTGGGCCGGTACCCTCTTGGGACTTGTGCAAGTGGTGATGATACCTATCCCGTTTGTATTTTACAAGTGGGGAGATCGGATCCGTGCCCGGAGTCCGCTGATCAAGCAGATGCGGGAGGACCAGGAGAGGATTGCGAGAAAGGTTGAGGTGGCTGCGACAAAGGGTAGGAAGAAGAATGTTGCTCCCACGACGGGACAGGTCTGGGTGGTTGAAGAGGAGAGGCAGGTTAATGATGAGGAAGAGGGGGGTGGTGTTAGTTGCGCTGGGGTGATAGGCGCAGAAAAGAACTGAATTCTGGTTGGAATTGGTTGAAAATACGTGTGGGATAACCTGGAGGATGGATATCTCAGAAGAATAATATGAATATATTGTCGGCCCGGATGATCTACCGGCACCTCGTCGGTAACCCGAACGTGCAGTCGTCTCGTGTCACGAGTGAGATCACATGACAATACAAGACATCACATGACAAGGCAAGGCAATTAATCAATTGCGGCGCAGATTGCTCGCTTGCTTGCTTCTCTTCAAGCATTGAGCCTTGAGGTGTCGGAACTCTAATAAAGTTCCGCAACGCGAGAGGGTTCATTGGAGTGGAAGAGCCGCATGGTTTGCATGCTAGATTGAGTAATTGCTCGCATCTCGGGGTCTGACAACTGCAATTGTTTGTCGGTGTATCACAGGCAATTTATAGCAAGCGTAGATGTGTAACTAGAGTACGTACTTTACAGGAAGTAAATGCTCCTGAGTGCTGATCTGGCAGGGGAGATGACCATATCAGCCAATCCTTCTCAGTCTTGGGCGACTGATATCTGGCGGCCAACGCTGATGCAATCAATAAATACAGCGTAATAATAGCCGACGATCCAACTGTTCTTTGTTTGGCTGGGACATAAAGGAGATTCGAACGAATGGATAGATAGGCTACGGGTGTTGGCTTGATTTTTCTCCTCAATGATAACCTCACCTTATTGCAATTCAACTTGATTTTTCTATTGAATCTGACAAATACGTAGAGCTGGTAACACCTACCCACCTCGTCACTTTCCTCACTTCATTTACCCTTTGCTTTCTTGTTGACATCGTCAATCGTGATATCGACCCCACCAGTTTGGTCTGCCGGCGCGACTGTACTTAGCATTCACTTACCTAAGCGAGTCTGAGCCCCGGATCGGCCCCAGGCTCAGCATAGAAAAGTTCGAAACGCCATCTCGTCTTTCTCACTCACTCACGCACCTCCACCTAATCCCACGGTACGGTACTCGTCAATCAATTCCTACCGGTGTAGTCAATCCTCCCAAATATCTTCTTCATTGTGTTCATTCTGGGATCCTCCAATCCGGATCTGCTCTGCTCTGCTCTGCTCTACTCTGCTCCCGCCTCACCGCGCAGCCACATCGACAGCATCACTATAAGTAACCATCAAGCATTTCCCCCCTCTTCCCAGAGACACCGCAAAACAAAACAACGCAAGAGCCATCTCGAAGTCGACCGCCTCCATCGTCCGAAACAATAAGGCCCCTCGACGACGTCGCAGACACGATTCGCACCTGTTAACACGAGAAGAAGACACCCTACAGCAAATATCACTAGATTCATCTGTGACTTTCAGTAGTCATGGCGGTTCCTACGCAATTTGCCTACCGAACACTGAAGGAGATTGGCGTCTACGATGCTGACCCGGTCTACGAGCCTTTGCCTGGTTTCCAGAAGCCCGAAGGCTCCTCCCGCTGCGCTGTCTACTCGCCCTGTGGCCGCTACTTTGCCTGGGCCTCCCCTACAGGCGTGACGGTCATTGATGCTTCGGTCGGAAGCATCATTACCACCCTACCTACGCCCAACGTCTTCGAGTTGGGTTTCTCTCCTCGAGGGTCCTACATCATCACCTGGGAACGCCCCTCCAAGGACGAGAACGGCGATGCGGTGAAGAACCTCAAGATTTGGCACACGGTCGAGAGCGTACCCGAGGGTGGGGAGAAGCAGGTCGTGGGGAGATTTGTGCAGAAGAATCAGTCGGGCTGGAACTTGCAGTACACTTTCGATGAGCGTTACTGTGCCCGCGTTGTCACCAACGAGGTCCAGTTCTACGAGAGTGGCGACCTGGGTACCGTCTGGAACAAGCTGCGTGCTGAGGGCGTTGCCGACTTTGCTGTCTCTCCTGGCAACAACTATTCGGTCGCTGTCTTCGTTCCAGAGCGCAAGGTAAGCATCAATTCAATTTTCCGAAGATTGCATCTAACAGACTCCTCAGGGCCAACCATCCGCCGTCAAAGTCTTCAACGTACCTCAATTCACCAACCCGGTTTCACAAAAGACGTTCTTCAAGGGGGATAAGGTGCAACTGAAGTGGAATCAGCTTGGTACTACTTTGATTGTTCTAGCCCAGACCGAGGTTGATAAGACGGGCAAGAGTTACTATGGAGAGACTACACTGTATGTGCTGAGCGCAAACGGTGGATTCGATTCAAGAATCACTCTGGACAAGGAGGGCCCAATCCACGATGTGTCGTGGTCACCAAACTCGAAAGAATTTGGTGTGATCTACGGATATATGCCAGCCAAGACCACAATCTTCAATTCACGAGCTGTGGCCACGCATACATTCCCACTTGGCCCGCGAAATACCATCCTGTTTTCGCCAACCGGTCGGTTTGTTTTGATTGCCGGTTTTGGAAATCTGGCTGGGCAGATGGACATCTATGATCTTGAAAAAGACTACAAGAAGATCGTCACTATCGATGGTGGATCCCCCAGTGTCTGCGAGTGGAGCCCGGACAGCAAGTACATTCTGACTGCTACCACGAGTCCCAGACTGCGTGTCGATAACGGCATTCGTCTGTGGCACGTTGGAGGTGCGATGATGTACAACCAGGATATGGTGGAGCTTTACAGCGTTGCGATGAGACCACAAAAGTTCGAGAGTCTCCCGTCTGGAGACCCCCTGCACCCGATGCCCACCCCTCATAGCTCGGCCTTGGCGTATCTTGGCACCGTCAAGACACCCTCGAAGCCAGCCGGTGCGTACCGACCACCTGGAGCACGTGGAACCTCGACCCCCTTGCACTTCAAACGTGAGGATGAGGGAGGAGCTGCTCACGTGGTCAGCAATGGCACTTCATTGGTAGGATCCAACGGATTCGGAAAGCAGAGACGGCAGGTCCCAGGTGCCGAGCCCATGGAGCCGACCCTGCCTCCCGGAGCCGCTCCTGCCAACGGAGCCGCACCTGGAGCTGCTGAGGGCGATGAGAATTTGTCCAAGGCGGCATTGAAGAATAAGAAGAAGAGAGAGGCGAAGAAAGCCAAGGACGCGGAGGCCAAGGCAGCTGGGCTTGTTCCTAGCCAGGAGGTAACACCAGCGAGCGGCGACGGCAGGAGCACAGAACGCCGAGACGGACATGAGCGCAGCCACTCCAGGAACCACTCCCGAACCCCATCTCAGCAGCGACTCCGCACTACCAACTACCAATCCAACCAAGGTAGACGGCAGTCGGGCGACGTCAGAGTCCAAAATGGTAGCGGCTTCGGCGGCGGTGCGATCCCCAACACCAATGTCAACAACTTGAGCTTGAATCTCGCCGCGTCCCGTATTCAGGATGCACCAGAGCTCTCCATCACGTCGCCTAGCGGAGGCAGCCCCAATGCCAAGAAACTGAGAGCTCTGCAGAAGAAGATTCGCGCCATTGAGGATCTTGAGATGCGCCATGCTGGTGGTGAAAAGTTAGAGGACACGCAAATGAAGAAGATCGGCACCAAGTCCGCCGTGCAAGCGGAGCTGGATGCTCTCGGAAACGAGTGATTTGTGCGATACCGAGGGCCATGAGAGGCGATAGTGAATTGCGCTGGTCTCGAAGTAGTGAAGCGAGGCTTCCTTGTTTTCTTTGGATTCCATTGGATGGATTGATGGGTGGGTGGGTTGATGGATGAATGAATGGGTATGCGTATGCACTCATGGAATTTGAGCGGGTATGAAAATGCCGGTGGATCAAGACGAGTTGCCTGATGGACGGCTCTGCTTCTATTCTGGCGTACCAACCCAGACTGGAGTGAAGCTGGTCTGGATGGATGTATAAGCTCCATGAAAGTAAGCGAAGATATTAACGACATCATTGTCTGTCGATACCTTTTTTTTTTCTTCCCTTTTAGTCGCGCTTATTTTCGCTTAATATATCTTGAAGTACTTCTTTCGTGACTTCCTTTTAAGGCATTAAAAGGATTTGAAGCTCGAACTATCCAACTCAACTTGCATAACGAGTGATTTGAGATTTTGCAAGCTCGATTAGATTGGACAGTTAAGTGTTTTGATTCAATTCGATATAGAGCGAACGCCCTTATTTATTATTAGCTTCCGCTGAAGAGGGAGAGAGAGAGAGAGAGAAAGAAAAAAAGAAAGCAAGAAAGCAAGAAGCGCAAAATCATCCTCTCCCCTATCTCCATTGCTGCTACAAGTACTATATATATTCAAAATAATATATATATTTTCTTTTTCCTTTTAAATCGCGCTTATTTTCGCTTAATATATCCTGAAGTACTTCTTTCGTGACTTCCTTTTAAGGCGTTAAAGGGATTTTAGAGCGCGAATTGTTTGGCTTTTAGATTAATTTGTATAAAGAATAGTTTAAGATTCTGTATGCTTAGTTAAATTTAATTAGATTAGATTAGATAGATTAGTTAAGTGTTTTGATGTAATTCGTTATAAAAAAAAGCTCTTGTTTATTTATTGTCACCAACGGTGACTTAAGATAAATTCTAGTAGTTGTGGTGGTGATGAGTCATCCAGTAGTTGTGGTGGTGGTTGGTCATCTAGTAGTTGTGGTGGTGATTAGTCATCCAGTAGTTGTAGTGGTGGTTAGTCATCTAGTAGTTGTGGTGGTGGTTAGTTATCCAGTCACGTGAGACTATTCTATACGGATCTAGCAAGATTTGTGAGCGTGCTAAGACTTTTATTCTATGTTAATCTATTGAACTTTTTTCGGAACGGGTCGGCCCGTTTAATTTATGTACAACAGCTAAACCCAATCGAGATAAGTGGCTTGGCAGCACGCGCAGTACCTTATAGCATCTGCACGTATTAAGTACGTACCCAACTTTTTCGTCCTTTATCATCTGCTTAAGTATTGTTGCAACCTCTACCAATTCATAATATGGACCTTCGTATCTGTACTCACACGCGATATGTACTTAAGAACACCTTTTAGCTTATTACATTATTTCAAGACTATGGTCAAGGTAAAATATTCGCCTTTTGCAATGATTGTAAAGCTAAAAACAGAGCTTCTAAATCTGCATACAGGGCAAAACATTCTTTACCTCCGTCTAGTGACGATCACGATCTATTAGCAAAAAAGCCTCGCGGCCGACCTCGGCGCGCTCCAATTGCAGCCTCTTTCTTACGAGCCTCTCTACGAAAACCACGCTCCTTACGATATTCACCACTGAAGCTTGGTCACCCTTACCTTACGCAGCGTACCCTTCGCAAATACTCTTATGGATCATCCCTTTTATTGCGGCGTACTTTAAACAAACCACCTTTCTTACGCGATCTTGCAGTTCGGCTTAGCCCGCCTTCGCCTTCTTTATTACGACATACGCGTGGGCCTGCCCGAAGTGGTAGCATAGGTGGTTTTGGCGGGAATACACATAGTAGTTTTATGCGTGGGCCAGCGCCAAGTGGCATAAGTAAGTCTTTTTAGTTAAGTTACTAAAGTTACCAAAGTTACTAGAGTTATTAATGTTACTAAGGTTTCGATTCTACGGCTTAGCGCGTTCAGGATTCAGGTTTCGGCGAAGATACATACGGTTCTATACGCGGGATTGCTTAAGGTGGCACAAGTAGTAGCATAAGTAAGTCATTTCAGCCAAGTTACTAGAGTTACTAAAGTTACTAATGTTATTAAGGTTTCGATTCTACGGCTTAACGCACCTAGGTTTCAGGTTTTGTTAGAGGTTTATATGGAGGTACATATGATGGTTTTATGCGTAGGCCTGCCCGAAGTAGTAACATGGCTGGATTTAGCGGGGATACACACGGTAGTTCTATGCGTAAGCTAGCGCTAAGTGGCATGAGTAGGTCCTTTTAGCTAAGTTACTAAAGTTACTAAAGT